CCCGCAAAGCACACGAGTCGCACAGCCGAGTCCTCTCGTATTTCTTCCGTCAGCAGCCACCTCGTGCTAGGCACATCTTCCAGCACCATGACGCAGTAACGGCTCAGCTAGGAGTGGGTGTCGGGTGCCAGAGGCAGGAGGGCAGATGGCAGATGGCCTCCCAATCCAAAATGGATGATGTGCAGCCCAGCTGGCTTGTGCTAAATGCGGCATACCCCTCCCCTACTGAATGGTATTTTTTTGTCAAGGAGGGTAGGGGAACCGCCTTAAAATCAATAACTTTGTCACAGTAGCGTGCCCCCCCCTCCCGTTTCGCAGAAAAAGCACGAGAGCACCGCAGCAGCGCAGCGAATCTCCAGCTCAAAGGACGGAACGGCCGAGGCGTATAGCCCCCCCCCAACGATCAAGGGCCCACCCTACGTCATCACCTGTCGCCTGCCCAGGTACGAAGGGGGATGGTTGCGCTATTGCAAAGGAAGGATGTGTTGGGGCGCCAGGAATTGCTGAGACTAATTTGGTGCGGCTCTGTTCAGTGCCACGCGAGCCGGAGTCATGTGTGTCGACAGCCGAAGCGATGCGCAGTCTGAGGCTTCACCGTGCTTGCCCTATACCTCTTTGGGGGTTTTGTCCAGTCCGTATGACTTTGCATTTGCAAGTTCCACGGTCTCTTTGTGTGCAGTCAGCCCGGAGCCACCGCGATTTTATCCCGATTCTGCTCCTCGATCCGCCACACATTCACCGTCCGCGTGACACGCATTCACGGTTGTCCCAGTCCCAGTCCCAAGCTTCCCTGAGCGCACACATGCCTTCCACCCAACCGTCCACCAGAGGCAGCGCTGCTGCTGTCACACCTCTTGAGTTCCAGCGGTGCGAGAAAAGCTTCCCCTCCAATGGCTTGTTTTGCAGCAAGTCAAGGTGACGCAAAGCAGGAGCAGCAGTATCTCAAAGCTTCTTTTTTCTGCCTCAGACACATCCCCCCCCCCTCTTTTCTCTTTTCTCTCGCCCACACACAGCAGCAGCAGTAGTGATCGTCGGAACAAAGCAAGCAAGTCGCCATGGCGGAGACGGAGGTAGCAACCCCCCCCCCGGTGCCCACGGAGGAGCCTACCGGAAAGGATGTCCCTGATAAAAGGGAGGGGAGGCCCGACCGTCCGAAGCGCGAGCCGGAAGAGGTGCCCGATATGACCGTCGAGGAGGCGCAGAAGGCTCTCAATGCCTTGCCCAAGGTAAGCAAGCTTCTTGCGTGCCCGCTACACCAGCAGTAGTAGCAGCAGCAGCAGCAGCAGCAGCAGCAGCAGCAGCGGCACATTATTGCACCGCCTTCCCGCGCTCACCAAAAGGTGGTGTGTGTGATTTTCGACGTCGTGTGTGTGCTTAAGGGGTCTGTGGCGACGAACGGGGCATTGGTATAGCGTGTGCCTTGCCTTCGACCGGTAGTACTGCTGTTTGATTTTCATGTACAATGTATGCATATTTGGTGATGGCGTCCGGAGAGATGCGGTGCATTATTTTTTAGGATGTGCTACCGGTAGGGTGTCGCACTTCTGTTATAGGGGCGAGGTCGAGAGAACAAGACAGGGAGAAGGGTGACCGCGTTAGGGACGACACAGACACGATACATGGCGAAGCCCTGCGTGTGCCTTCCATATTACCAGCTTGTGCATCTCCGTGTCGTTTAAGGGGTGCAGAAGACGAATTTTGATGTTGACTAATTGTGAAATCAAACACAAGAGCACCAGAAATTCCACAACAGACACACCAGACCAGTAGGAAGGCACCGCGAAATACAGCAATCGTTGAATTCGCACAGGGCGGCAGTAGAGGCTGCTCAAAACATACATTTCACGCGTCTACCTCCACACGCCTCCTTTGAAATCAAGATAAAAATTCGCACCATTCTAAATTCTCGTCAAAAGAGCCAAAACGGAAGGCGCTCAAACAAGGTCAATTTTGAGGGTTAGGTGTCGCATTCGATTGTCATCAGTAGAGGACATCATGCAGATGCGTCGTGTGTGGTGGCATGTGCAGGTTTGCTCTTGGAGCTGAAATATCGAAGGTCGCAGTAACCTCTGAAAACAGTCCGAAATCTGCGCCGGAACCAAGCGGCATGCAACATTTGTCACAGCCGTGCTCGCCGCCACTGACCCCAATCTCTTGAACTGCGGGTTTCAGCAGTAGCTAGTGACGGTGATCGCGGCTGTGACAAATGTTGGATGCCGCTTGGCTCCGCCGCAGATTTCGGGCAGTTTTCAGAAGTTGCTGCGACCTTCGATATTCAGCTCCAGTAGTAAACTTGAACGTGCCAGCACGCACGACGCCTCTTCATGGTGTCCTCTACTGATGACAATAGAATCCGACACCTAACCCTGGCGGGAAGGATGTTTTCTTTCTTTGTATAGGATTAAAGTATGGGGAAAAGAGCCAGCGTCACTACCCCTTTTCTGCACCTCCTTAAGCGGGCCGTTGTACATTTTTTTTTCTTTTGTGCATGTGTTGTACTGGTGCGGTACCGTGTTCCGTCAATCAGATCATCTTTTTTCGCGCATGAAGACAGAGGCAGCATCGATGTCCCTAGCAATCGGTTCGAAGGCCTTAGCCACTTGTAGTGTTAGTGGTTCCCGACATTTCACTGCGAACGGTAAGGTCGCTGTGTTGCATGAAATCATCAAAATCATCAAAGCGATTGACTTTTTTTTCGCATACTGCTGTATGCACCCACACCTACATAGGCAGCATCGCTGTCTCCACCAATCGGTCCGCAGGGCCTATCCCGCCTTAGTCCTTAGTCCTTAATAAGTCAGTCGTGGTGGTGGTGGTGTGTGACCAGTGACCAGCACCCCCCGAGCGAGTCATGGTGTGTTGTTGCGTTGCGGAAAAACCCTCGCCTTTGTTGGTTGATTTCCCATGCACGGCAAGCACCAGTTCGGTACGAAGAGTAGTTATGTTGCAACAAGCGGATGTCACACGCAGCTTCATGACGAAAGATTAAGATTTGGCCATGCCACAGCCGCATGCGGAATTGTCCACTAAACTAGATGCATTGCGTCAAAAGGAGTTCATAGAAAGGCAGCAAGTCTGTACAATAGGTAGGCTACACAGCCAGGAGATAGTACAATGCTGCTTTACTGCTGTACACAGAACTTGACGCCTTGGTTGTGCATGCCATGGACAAGTACCGTACCAGTGTAAAAATGGTGATACCATGGTGTGCGCTTGCGCCCTTTTCGTGGGATTGCGGAGTATTTCCGCCCCATCAGTATCTTCAACGGCACCTGCTGTGCGGCAGCTGCGTCAACGTTACAACGTAGTCTACCCCGTGTCACCCTTTAATGTCCTCTTGTTACACACGGCGATGTGCACACACCTCAGTAGTGTGCGCTGTATGCATACGCCCTCTCCCTTTTTGCCCTATTCCCTTCAGCATTCTGTTACAAGCCCCCCCCCCCCCCCCCCAAAAAAAAATTAAAAAAAAAGGTGAAATTTAAGGGGGAAAAGAAGAATTGGAAAAAGGGGGGGGAAATGTAAAAAAAGAATAAAAAACAAAGTTTTTGTTTTAACATTTTGGGGGGGAAGTTTTGTTAAAATCAAAGGGGAAAGGAAGTTTGGACTCCAAAAATTGGGGGGAATGGGGGGGGAAAAGGAAAAAAAAAAAACCCCCGGCGGGGTTTGGCGGGAATTAAAGGAATATTGGAATAAAATATAACTTGGGGGAAGGTAATTAAAAGCTCAAAGGCCCGGCCTTGGGGCCTGAATGGTGGAACCCCGTGGGGGAGGGGAAAAAAAGGGAAAACAAAAAGGGGTAAAGAAAAAAAAGAAAGAATGCCCCCAGGAAATATTTTGGGAAGTAAAAAAAACGCGGGAAAAGAATG